CCTCCCTCCCTCCCTCCCTCCCTTCCTTCCTTCCTTCCTTCCTTCCTTCCTTCCTTCCTCCTCTTCCTCCCCTTCCTCCCCTTTCTCCCCTTTCTTCTTTCCCTTTCTTCCTTGTTGGTATGGGGATCTGAATCCATGGCCTTGGGGTTATAATGCTGTGCCCTAACCAACTGAGCTAACTAGCCAGACCTTGGGCTTGCTTTCTTGATTTCTTTTTCTGATAGCTTTTTGCTGGTGTATAAAAATGCTACTGATTTTTGTGTATTGATTTTGTATGCTGCTACTTTACTGAATCTGGTTGTCAGCTCTCAGAGTTTTTTGGTAGAGTTTTTAGATTTTTCTCTATATTATACCTTGTCATCTGCAAACAGGGAAAATTTGACTTTGTCTTTTCCAATCTGGATGCCCTCTATTTCTTTCTCTTGTCTGATTGCTCTGCCTAGTATTTCCATGTGAAATAGAAGTGGTGAGAGTGGGCATCCTTGTCTTGTTCCTGTTTTTAAAAGAAAACCTTTCAGCTTTTCTTCATTCTGGATGATATTGGCAGTGGACTTGTCATATATACCTTTTATTGTGTGGAGATATTTTCCTTCTATATCTAATTTCTTGAGAGTTTATCATGAAGGCACTTTGAATTTTGTCAAATGATTTTTCTGCTTCTGTTGAGGTGATCATATGGTTTTTGTCCTTGATTTTGTTGATGTGGTGTATCACATTTATTGATTTGTGTATGTTGAAACATCCTGGAAAGAATCCTACTTGATCATGGCGTATAATCTTTTTGATGTGCTGTTGTATTGTGTTTGCTAATATTTTGTTGAGAATTTTTGCATCTGAGTTCATGAAGGATATTGGCCTGTAGCTTTCTTTATTTGTTGTATCTTTGTCTGATTTTGGTATCAGAGTGATACTGGTCTCATAGAATGAGTTTGGGGGAATGGCCTGTGTTTCATTTTTTTGGAATAGTTTGAGAAGGTTTTGTACAAATTCTCCTTTAAAGGTTTTGGTTGAATTCAGCAGTGAAACCACCCAGTCCTGGGCTTTTCTTTGTTGAGAAACTTTTGATTACTGCTTCAATCTCATTGCTTGTTATTGGTCTGTTCAAGTTTTCTATTTCTCCTTGGTGTAGTCTTGGTAGTTTGTATGTTTCTGGAAATTTATCTGTTTCTTCCAGGTTTTC